TCTGGAATTGCTTTAGACCGAGATGGATATGAGAACTATTTTGCAAATCAAAAGTGGAGACTCGCCAAGGGATCATTGGTGATTGAAAAGGGAGTTGCTCGTGGCACGTTGTACAGGACAAATGCAGAAATATGCCAAGGTGAATTGAATGCGGCACAAGATGAGATTTTTGCAGATTTGTGGCACAAAAGGATGGGTCATATGAGCAAGAAGGGATTGCAGATTCTTGCCAAGAAATTACTTATTTCTTATGCCAAAGGTACAACGGTAAAACCCTGTAACTACTGTTTATTTGGTAAGCAGCATAGAGTCTCATTTCAGACATCGTCTGAAAGAAAATTGAATATACTTGATTTAGTATATTCTGATGTTTGCGGCCCAATGGAAATTGAATCAATGGGCGGTAACAAATATTTTGTTACTTTTATTGATGATGCTTCACGAAAATTATGGGTTTATATTTTGAAAACCAAAGATCAGGTGTTTCAAGTTTTTCAGAAGTTTCATGCTATGGTGAAAAGGGAGACAAGCCAAAAGCTAAAGCATCTCTGAAGTGACAATGGAGGTGAGTACACTTTAAGGAAATTTGAAGAGTACTGTTCGAACCATGGGATCAGACATGAAAAGATAGTTCATGGAATCCCACAACACAATAGCGTAGCTGAAAGGATGAACCGCACCATTGTGGAGAAGGTGAGAAGCATGCTCAGAATGGCTAAACTGCCTAAGCCATTCTGGGGTGAAGCAGTTCAGACAACCTGTTACATGATCAATAGGAGTCCATCAGTTCCGTTGGCGTTTGATATCCCAGAGAGAGTTTGGACCAACAAGGAGGTATCCTACTAGCATGTGAAGGTGTTCGGTTGCAAAGCTTTTGCACATGTACTAAAGGAGCAGAGAACAAAGCTGGATGATAAATTTGTTCCTTGCATATTCATCGGATATGGAGATGAAGAATTCGGATACAGATTATGGGATCCCGTAAAAAAGAAGGTCATCAGAAGCAGAGATGTAGTCTTCCGAGAAAATGAAGTTGGAACTGCTGATGATATGTCAGATAAGGCCAAGAATGGTATTATTCCTAACCTTGTTACTATTCCTTCTACTTCTAACAATTCCACAAATGCAGAAAGTACGACCGACGAGGTTGCCGAGCAGGGGGAGCAACCTGGTGAGGTTATTGAGCAGGGGGAGCAACTTGATGATGATGTCGATCAAGTGGACCACCCCACTCTGGGAGAAGAACAACCTCAACCTCTGAGGAGATCAGAAAGGCCAAGGGTAGAGTCATGCAGGTACCCTTCCACGGAGTATGTCCTCGTCAGTGATGAGGGAGAGCCAGAAAGTCTTAAGGAGGTGATGTCCCATCCAGAAAAGAACCAGTGGATGAAAGCCATGCAAGATGAGATGGAATCTTTGCAGAAAAATGGCACGTACAAACTGGTTGAACTTCCAAAGGGTAAAAGACCACTCAAATGTAAGTGGGTCAGATACAAAGCTCGATTGGTGGTAAAAGGCTTCAAGCAGAAGAAAGGTATTGATTTTGACAAAATTTTCTCACCTGTTATCAAAATGACTTTTATTCGAACAATCTTGAGCTTAGCAGCTAGCCTAGATCTTGAAGTGGAGTAGTTGGACGTGAAGACTGCATTTCTTCACGGAGATTTGGAAGAGGAGATCTATATGGAGCAGCCAAAAGGATTTGAAGTAGCTGAAAGGAAACACATGGTGTGTAAACTGAATAAGAGTCTTTATCGTGTTGAAGCAAGCACCAAGGTAGTGGTACAGGAAGTTTGACTCATTCATGAAAAGTCAAACTTACACAAAGACATATTCTGATCCATATGTATACTTCAAAAGATTTTCTGAAAATAACTTTATTATATTGTTGTTGTATGTGGATGACATGTTAATTGTAGGAAAAGACAAGGGGCTGATCGCAAAGTTGAAGGGAGATTTGTCCAAGTCATTTGATATGAAAGACTTGGGCCCAGCACAACAAATTATGGGTATGAAGATAGTTCGAGAGCGAACAAGCAGAAATTTATGGCTGTCTCAGGAGAAGTACATTGAACGTGTACTGGAACGCTTCAATATGAAGAATGCTAAGCCAGTCAGCACACCTCTTGCTAGTCATCTAAAGTTGAGCAAGAAGACGTATCCTACAAGTGTGGAGGAGAAAGGGAACATGGCTAGAGTTCCTTATTCTTCAGCAGTCGGAAGCTTGATGTATGCAATAGTATGCCCCAGACATGATATTGCTCATGCAGTTGGTGTTGTTAGGAGATTCCTTGAAAATCTTGGAAAGGAACATTGGGAAGCAGTCAAGTGGATACTCAGGTACCTGAGAGGTACCACGGGAGATTGTTTGTGCTTTGGAGGATCTGATCCAATCTTGAAGGCTATACAGATGCTGATATGGCACGTGACATTGATAATAAAAAATCCACTACTGGATATTTGTTTACATTTTCAAGGGGAGCTATATCATGGCAGTCAAGGTTGCAGAAGTATGTCACACTCTCTACAACTGAAGCGGAGTATATTGCCGCTACTGAGGCTGGCAAGGAGATGATATGGTTGAAACGGTTCCTTCAAAAGCTTGGCTTGCATCAGAAGGAGTATGTTGTCTATTGTGACAGTCAAAGTGCAATAGACCTTAGCAAGAACTCCATGTACCATGCAAGGACTAAACACATCGACTTGAGATATCACTGGATTCGAGAAATGATAGAGAATGAATCTCTAAAAGTCTTGAAGATTTCTACAAGTGAGAATCCCGCAGATATGCTGACCAAGGTGGTACCAAGAGACAAGTTCGAATTGTGCAAAGAACTTATCGGCATGAACTCTATATGAAAAACTGGAGTTACCTCTTTCAGGTGCATGGGACTGGAGAGGGAGATTTGATGGGTTCATCCCATGTGTAAGAAAGACATCTTCCTTTTGGCTTTGAATTGTCGATCCAACTAAAGGAATAGTAAGGAAGATTTTATGGCAAATATTTCTTTGGTTTCACATTGAATATTTGACTCTTGCCAAACTCATGATATCATTGATGACATTAATGAAGCAATCCTAAACACTATAAATAAGTGTCTCGCTCTCATTGTAATACACACCAACAAAGAGAGAAAGAAAAAGCGAGGTTTCACAGACAAGGTATAAGAAAATAGTCTGTGAGGAAAATAGAGAGTGAGCGATATTGCAGTAAGGTGAGAATATCAAAAGAGGGTTATTTCTTTTGAGTGTTGTAGTGGTCTTTGGAGTATTTTACTATGGGACTGGAGAGGGAGATTTGATGGGTTCATCCCATGTGTGAGAAAGACATCTTCCTTTTGGCTTTGAATTGTCGATCCAACTAAAGGAATAGTAAGGAAGATTTTATGGCAAATATTTCTTTGGTTTCACATTGAATATTTGACTCTTGCCAAACTCATGATATCATTGATGACATTAATGAAGCAATCCTAAACACTATAAATAAGTGTCTCGCTCTCATTGTAATACACACCAACAAAGAGAGAAAGAAAAAGCGAGGTTTCACAGACAAGGTATAAGAAAATAGTCTGTGAGAAAAATAGAGAGTGAGCGATATTGCAGTAAGGTGAGAATATCAAAAGAGGGTTATTTCTTTTGAGTGTTGTAGTGGTCTTTGGAGTATTTTACTATGGGACTGGAGAGGGAGATTTGATGGGTTCATCCCATGTGTGAGAAAGACATCTTCCTTTTGGCTTTGAATTGTCGATCCAACTAAAGGAATAGTAAGGAAGATTTTATGGCAAATATTTCTTTGGTTTCACATTGAATATTTGACTCTTGCCAAACTCATGATATCATTGATGACATTAATGAAGCAATCCTAAACACTATAAATAAGTGTCTCGCTCTCATTGTAATACACACCAACAAAGAGAGAAAGAAAAAGCGAGGTTTCACAGACAAGGTATAAGAAAATAGTCTGTGAGAAAAATAGAGAGTGAGCGATATTGCAGTAAGGTGAGAATATCAAAAGAGGGTTATTTCTTTTGAGTGTTGTAGTGGTCTTTGGAGTATTTTACTATGGGACTGGAGAGGGAGATTTGATGGGTTCATCCCATGTGTGAGAAAGACATCTTCCTTTTGGCTTTGAATTGTCGATCCAACTAAAGGAATAGTAAGGAAGATTTTATGGCAAATATTTCTTTGGTTTCACATTGAATATTTGACTCTTGCCAAACTCATGATATCATTGATGACATTAATGAAGCAATCCTAAACACTATAAATAAGTGTCTCGCTCTCATTGTAATACACACCAACAAAGAGAGAAAGAAAAAGCGAGGTTTCACAGACAAGGTATAAGAAAATAGTCTGTGAGAAAAATAGAGAGTGAGCGATATTGCAGTAAGGTGAGAATATCAAAAGAGGGTTATTTCTTTTGAGTGTTGTAGTGGTCTTTGGAGTATTTTACTCGGACCTACAAAGTGTAAAATTCCTTGCTATAGTGATATCAGTTGCTGCTCTCAGGGCCGTGGTTTTGCCCTTATTCAAACGGGTTTTCCACGTAAAAATCTTGGTTTCGTTGTCACTCTTTTATTCTTGTTAATTACCGTATCTCGGTGCTACGTTATTGTTCCGCTTTTATTACTGTGAATATTATTTATGTAGGGGGTTTATTCCCAACAAAAATAACATACTTCACAATGTGAATTCTCAACAAGCAACTTTGCATTCTTATTGCTCGAGCCTATGCCTAACCGGTGGCGGAGCCACCTCACTTTAAAGGCGTGTCAATTACATATTTAACTAGGCCAAAATTATATTTTTATTCATATATACTACATCTTGATTCCTCAATTATTTTATTCGTATGCTTTATCTTTCTATATTTTGGCACTCCTCAATAAAAATTTTAGCTCCGTCACTGTGCCTAACTAAGCCACCATAGCAATTTATAATAATATTACTACAGATCTCAAGAAACAAAGGAATTGAAGCAAAATAACTCAAAGAAAAGATCATGCAACAGAAGGGTATGTATAAAATTCGTGAAAAAGCTTACACTTGATGAAAATTCTCAATAGAATAAGACTACAAAACTTTCAAGGTAAACTGTAGTATATCTTTTCATATAGACAACCGCAGATGTAACTTTGAAGTCGAACTGCAAAAGCAACCACGAATTTGTACAGTTATGTATAAACTTTCAAGATATCTGTAACCAGAAACTACTGGGAAAATTATTCAAACGCTAGACACAGACAACAGTAATCTACACAACGTTAAACGATCATCTTCGTCATCATCATTGCACCATATTAACTGCCGCCACCAGATCCATATTTCTTTCCGAAAACAACAAGCTGCAGTTTATCATACCCTGCTAGTACACCAGCACCGGCAACAGCACGTAGAATATTAGCCCCAGCACCTTTAAAAAGTGACTTGGCACCTTCTATTTTCATTATCTGAGAAAATGCATCTAGTGAGCCCTTGTACTTGACTGCTTCTCCTGAAGTCATCATCATTCTTCTAGCAAGGTTTCCAAGAAATTTATTAAATAAAGCTTCAAAAATCCTTATGCGGATTGAAACAATCAGGGCGCATGTGGTATAATCGCCTGAGTGAGTACATGTTGAAAGAAGGGTACAAGAATGATTCAATTTGTCTTTGTGTCTTTATAAAAAGATCTGGATCTAAATTTGTTATAATCACCGTGTATGTTGATGATTTAAATATCATTGGAACTCCTAGGGAGCTTCCTAAAGCAGTAGAGCTTCCTAAAGCAGTAGACTATTTAAAGAAAGAATTTGAAATGAAAGATCTTGGAAACACAGAATTTTGTCTTGGTCTACAAATTGAGTATATGAAAGATGGAATTTTTGTCCATCAATCAGCATACACTAAAATAATTTTAAAGCAATTATATATGGATAAAGCATATCCATTCCGACCTCATAAAAATAATGAAGAGCTTCTTGGTCCCGACGTACCATATCTTAGTGCAATTGGTGCACTAATGTATCTTTCTAACATG